TGCCCCGTGAGGGATCGATCACCTGGACGATCACGCACGGCCAAGGAGCGAGAGGAACCAACACGACTGGGAATGCGGCCAAGGGCAGGATCGTGATGAATGAACGACCACAAGAGCTGCCTGAACTGCTGGTGCGAGTGCGCCCCCCAAGCCTGACCCGCGGGATCGGCTAGCAAACGCGTGCGGAGCGACTCAGGCAAGCCGTTGTAAACCCAAAAGACCCGGTCGATCTCCGGGACAGCAGCCCCCGCGGTGCCCCGCTCACCGAACAGCGTGTCCATGCGGGTGAGGAACTCAAAGACAGTGGCGGGGGGGTGAGCGGCCAATTCCTGGATCTGCATCGTCAGACCCAGTAAGGTTGGGGGGCGCGCAAAGGGCCCGCACCACATGATCGCCTGGGCCTCCTCCCAAGTGGTGGGCACGGGATTGGCCTGCAAGTGCAGGCGCCAGTGAGCTGCAGCGGCCCCCTTGAGAAGGACCGGGAGGAGGTTGATGCGGTAGGCGTCATCCCGGTCGTAGTTGCAGAGGCGGCAGTGGGCGTCGAAGTGGACCAGAAACTGGTCCCAACGATCGCCCTTGGGATCGCCGGAGAAGGTAGGCAGCGAGGGGACCCCCCGGGGGAGCGGAGGAGAGCCGGGCGGGGCGGCAGTAGACCCTCGAGGAAAGGCCTCCAGGGCGGACAGCTGGCCCTGGAGGAAGACCACCTGGCGAGAGAGCTCGTCGGTGGAAGCCGATCCCAAGGATGGCGGGGCAACCTGCGGGAGGGCAGAGAGGGGAGGCACAGGCAAAACAACACCCTGGGATCCCGAGCCAGCAGGCAGCAGGGAGCCGATCGGGGGATTCAGCTGGTGCCCAAACCCGGAGAATGCCTCCATGCCCGAGGCGGGTGGGGCCACAGCCAAGGCCGCCACAGAACCCGCCAAGGAGGGGGAAATTGGAGACACAGCACCCCGGGATCCCGAGCCAGCAGGCAGCAGGGAGCCGATCGGGGGATTCAGCGGGTTCCCAAGACCAGAGAATACCTCCAAGCTCGAGGCGGGTGGGGCCACAGCCAAGGCCGCCACAGAACCCGCCAAGGAGGAGGGAATTGGAGACAAAGAACCCGAGAGGGTTCTCCTTCACTCAAAATGTGGGGGCCGTGATCGGACCGGAATGCGGCAAGGGGGCCAGGCGGCTGGAGGGACCCATGCCCGCCAACATTTGGCGGATATGCTCCTCCAAAAATGGCAGGAGCTGCCCGGCCAAATCGCGGGCATTAGGCAGGTCCAGCGGCCCCAAAACAGCGGGGCGAGGGGGCCGGTTCGGGCTGCGAGACAAAGCATCGGGCGCCCCGACGATCGGGCACACCGCCGGGGGCGTACTCGCCCGAGGGGGGGAGGATGGGGGGTACAGGTCCCCCCCAACCGATTCGAAAATTGTGCCCCCCTCGGCCGAATGGGCGCGGAGGGGCGTGCCGATCGGTTGGGTGGAGACCACCCCGCTCGCCTGCGCCGCACAGACCGCCGGCAGCGGTTGATCGTCGCCGTCGGCGCCGATGGCCTGGCTGGAAGTCGCCTCCTCGGACATGGCGATGGAGATGGCTTGAACTCGGCGAAGGCGGCGATCGGAGGGAGGCGGAGCGGCCCTGCAATCGAGGAGGGGGGGCCGCACCGCGAGGGGTGGGTGGGGCTGGAAAAGGCCGCCGGGTTCGCGAGAACCCGGCTCCGAAACCAGATGTTGCGCGGCAGCGCGCAACAGGGGGTGAGAGAGAGCTGCCGGTGCGGGCGCTCGAAGGCCATTAAGCCGGGACCCAGCACCGGACCCCAAGTACTACGTACTTGGGGTCACACCCGAGCGCCGGTACCTGGGGGTACCCCAGGTACCGGTGGCCACCGCCCTAGTTCCGGTCTAAGCACTCTAACCCCTACACTGTCGTAACCGTAGCCCTCTTGGGCCGGTTACTGTAGGGGGTCGCCGGTATCCCCGGGTACCGGCTAGTGCGGTACACATCCCCAACGTTCGGTTGGGGCATCGGCTATGGCGGAGCGTCCATGCCGCGAACTGGCGCGGCGAAGGGGTGTGGAGCCTCTCCGATTGAGATGCATGGATGGCCGCCGAGCGCGACCGCCCGGACGAGCCTCCAGCACCGTTTGCTTGGGCCGGGGAGGGCTGCGTGGGCGGCCTCGCCGAGGGGGACGGAGTGCTGCCGCTGGAGAGCGCGTGCTAGTCGTCACAATGGAGAGTTACGTCACCGGGGATGGAGAATAGGATGAAGCTGGATTGTTTGCATGGCGGGCAGCCAGGGATAATGACGGCCACCTTTTCTGAGTGTGACACGGACTGGTTATCATGCAAAAAGGGCCAGGCTGGCCCCTAGGAATGTGTAGGGACGATAGGGTCAGTTGACGGCCAAGAAAAGTGCAAACTAGAAAGGCAATACTAGCTATGGTATAATGGTGGGAAATTCTGTGTGAAGGTCGGTGGGAAGTTCTGAGAAGGTGGACTGTTTGTGCAAGGGGTACTGAGGCCTTTTTCCCAAAGCGTCTGTTGGAATATCCGAGGGTCACTCTAGTGTAGTGCTTTTGGAACCGGCGGGGGTATTTAGGTGGGGTTGTTTGGGGTGTGAGTGCCTCTCCCCACTACCCTCTCTCCGCCCCCATCTGTCCGTTCGTGTTTCTGGTGGTCTGAACGACTGGTGTTCTGATGAGAACAGTCGTGCTGTGAACCTGTGGGGGTTGGACGCAGTCTAAGGGGAGCGTCTTTGTAAAGAACACGTTCGTTTCTGTGTACCCTTGCCTCTTGACCCTCCGGGTCGTGTGTATTCCGGGTTGTGCACCGTTGCGCATACCCACAGCTCGACGCCGAGCTCGATTCCCGTCTCGTTGACTGACTGACCCGCGTGCGCTCACGTTGGGTGCTGTTTTCGTCGATTCAACGGCTCGCTTCCACCGTCCGCTGCCTGGCGAGTGAGTGGAGCGCAGCGGCGGACCGCAAGGAACGAGCATTGACAACATCGGTTGGTGACATCCGACGAATGATCAGTACGCTCGTCATACTGAGCTACTGAGCGAGGTGTGGAGTGTTGTTTCGCAGTCCGAGCGTGGTTCTTGTGTCTTGTTTCGAACCGCTCAGTCATTACATGCTTTTCGCTGTATGTGAACGGAAAGGGTGAAGTTACACACGAAATTCAGTGCTGGGGTTGCGCCTCGCTTCGGCAGCGCTCGACAATACCCCAAGAGTCCTGTTGGGCCTGAATTTGCGTTTTGCGATGATCGTCACCGTCCTGTGAGCTCCTATGAGCTAGGTTGTTGAATGTACAGGAGCGGAATGTTCAGCAATCGTTGGCGATTGGCAGGACGGTGATAGTCGCTGTGTCATTGGTGACTCTTGTCGAGCGCATATGGCAGATCGTTGAGCCATATTGCTGTTCCCAAGTGTAGACACTCTCCTGACGGTACTTGATCAGCTGGTCGCAACATCATGGCACTCGAACACAGGTGGACGCATAGTTTCTTGGTGACAATCTGGCTCTCAGGGGGTTCCTTGCCCACATGGTCGCCCATCTAGGTGTGTTATCGTCACTAACATTGCTGCTGCTGCCGGCTTTGTCACCACTGCCATTGTTCTGCATCGACATGATGGTTGTGGCAGAATACTGATCAGATTCTGCTGTGCCAAATAGGGCCTGTTTTCTAAGGGTCTGCTGTATGTGTGACAAGATAAACTCTGCCTATAATGCCATTCTTTCAGCTGTCTCTCCAGCAGTTGTTGCATTTTCAGCGCAAAGAGGGCCGACATGAACTGTGTAAATAGCAAGGACAACCGAGGGAACCCACAACAATTTCTGCTTGTCTGTTATTCTGATCAGACATTGCTAAAGAAATTCAAAGTAACAAAGCGAAAAAGAGAACAAAATTTACGACAGGTGGTCCCACTTCTTCCATGGCCGCACCCAGGTGATGCAGGTGGTTGAACTAGACATTTCAAGAAACCTTGTTACAACACTGGTTGGTTTCTAACTACAAAATTTGGCGAACTGCATGAGCACAGACTTGAGATATGGCTGACCTTGCAAGTTCCAAAGGATTCAATGTGCTGAAACAGAATTCTGATCTGATGGCCATTTTGGGGGTTGCAAGCGCAATATTCTGTCAGCGAGAAGTCGTTTCCCAGGCATTGTCAGACTCAATCCCTAGGAATTCAGACAGTCCACACCAATGGGTTTAAACGCTGGTGAAGGTGCCGCTTATCAACAAGAAACGAATGGGCCACAATATCTTGACTCTTGGACACGGGTGTTGTGCCTCAAATAGTCCCACAACCCGATATGGTCATGGTGCAGATGTGCAAAAAGTGTTCCCACGCATGATGACCCAAAATTTCTCGCCTGCGAGCACCAGGCAGAGCCTGCATTGATATTGAGAGGATGTTTCGGTGTCGGCGATGTGGGCCAGAAAAGGCGCAAGGAAAGAACATGTCAGAAGAGCCTTTCTGTGTTAGTCTAGCTAAAAGGGGAGTCCAGGACATCACAGATGTGCCCATGTTTCTGCATGTACAGGAGCCCAACATAATTGATATTTGCCTGCTTCTCCGTCACCAGTCTCCCGCTTCGTCTTGCTAAAGATCGACCGTCCAACGACTGTCGCAATATTCTCCGACGTTCTACGGCCTTCGCAAGCAGCAGCGACAGCACTTCCCCCGCCTGTCGCCAATCGCGGAGCGCCCCGAGAAGTGCAACTGGGTGAGCCCACGCAGCTGAAATTGTCTGAAGAGAATTGAGGCAGGTGTAGTTCCTCATGTTCGTGCCGCTGTGCACATGCCTACTTCAGAACAGCAACCAGTGTCCAAGTCATGCCTCGTCAGCTGCTCCAGGGGCTTGTTGCGTGTCCCGCCCATTTCGAGCCTCGCCGGCAGAGCGAAGCAGCCTTTGCGCGGAGTTGGTTTCGGTTGCCGTGGCAATGGCTGACCCACACGCCGACTCTATTGCCAAGACGTTGTACATCGGGGACTTGGCTTACTGGATGGACGAGAATTACCTCAACAGTCTGTTCGCACACACCCAGGATGTCAGCAGCGTGCGGCTCATTCGCAACAAAACCACGGCGGCGTCCGAGGGCTACGGGTTCATCGATTTCCGCACCCGGGAGGCGGCTGAGCGAGTGCTGTGTTCATACAACGGACGACAGATCCCGAACACCGACCACGTGTTCAAGATGAACTGGGCATCGATCGCGGGGTCAAAAGCACCACCGCCCCAAGGTAAACGTGCAACCAGGCACCACGAATTGATGGACCCCGACGGGCCCCCAGGACATGCTGCTGTTTGCGCCGTCTCTCCCCTGGCTCAGTTGTCGAGCGTCGCAACTCCGTTGCACGTGTTTCAGATGTACGTCGTCTGTGCGATTGTCCGACGGGTACCCCCCAGTCGGCGGCGCTAGGCATTGTGCTGTCGAGGCCTGGACCGTTTCCACCAGGTGAATTAAACTTTGCGCTTGTTCAATTTTGGTGATGCTGGCCGCACTGCAAATGGGACTTTGGCCAGTACAATCTCCCCTTCACATATCCTGCAGCGGGAGCAAACCTCTATCTCGCCCACGAATCGTGGCAAACTGGCCTTGTGGGGCGAAACTGCCACGAAACGGACCGCATGTTCTATGCTTCTGTGATCCATGGTCTGCTACCTGGTGCACATATCACTTGGTTCCGCAGCACTTCCAGCAGATTTGCCCCAGCCATTGTGCAATGGCAGAAATGCGAAAGTTTTGTCAGTGGGTACACTCTCCGAATGTTGCCAGTTTTTGAGCCACAAAACTAAGGTTGCTGTGTGATAAAGTATCCACAATAGATCAGATTTCCAAATACAGTTTGGCACAAGATTGTTTCTTTGCGTGTCTGCCAGGTGACCAGGCAAGTAGAATGCAAGCACTGGAAGTATGACACAGGCCGTTCTGCCTCGATTCCCAGGCCTTATTTGGAGCATATTGGTGAAGCCAATCCTTGAAAAATAGCCCTCCTGACTTGTTTCCTGACGACACTCGAGTTGTGGAATAGACCAATGTCCCTTGCATAATTTTCGCTTGCTTTTGTGTGCTGTTTGTTGACAGATTACTCCCTATTCGTTGGCGACGTGGCGCCTGAAGTGAACGACTACGTCCTTATGGAGCACTTTCGACAGTACTACCCCTCCGTTCGCAGTGCAAAGGTGTGCAAATTGTGTGGTACCCTACGCAGTTGCATGCGGTTGCAGGATGTGTTCGCTGAGCAGCATTCTGCCATCAGCAACAGAAAAGTAGATGAATGGCAAAGGCTGTCGTTGCTGTGTAGCCCTGTGTGTGCTCTGCTTGTTGCTGAAGTTTTCACAAATGCCTGCAGGTGATGACTGACTCCGTGACAAACCGGTCAAAGGGCTATGGTTTTGTTCGCTTCACAAATGAGGCAGAGCGCGATCGAGCTCTTCATGATATGAACGGATCCTTCCTTGCCAATCGATCCATCAGAGTTAGCCTGGCCACAGCACGGCGATTGGGTGGTGGGGGTGGGACATCAGGCCGCCAGAGCTCACAAGTGCACCCTTCTGAACTGGACCCCACCAATACTACGCTCTTCATTGGGGGCCTGGGTGCCACTGTGACAGAAGACCAGCTGAGGAGCATCTTTGGGAGGTATGGAGAAATTATTTACACAAGGGTCCCACAAGGCAAGGGATGCGGATTTGTCCAATACGTTGAGCGAAGGGCTGCAGAATGTGCAATGAGGGAACTGAACAACCAGGTGAGGATCAACACCAGCTACTTGTGTAGCAGCAGCTGCAGGCAATTTTCCAATATGCTAGGCTGGAAGAAGTTGACACAGCTCTACTTGTGGAGCCAGGTGCCATAGACTCGCATTTCAGCGAAGGTCACAGTACATATATTGTTATTGGAGCAGGCCAGCATCGCTAAGTGATTGCAGATGTGTGGTTCCGTTCTTGGTGTCTCAATAGTGCTTCAGGTGATAGGTATGAACACAAAGGGCCAGAAATCTGTACAGTGCAGTAGATTTTTTTGTACAGTACATTCTGTATGTTTCCCACATGTTCTTCGCTGTGCAATGGCTGGTTGACACACGATCTTCATCTTGCCATTATGAAGGCTTTCATGTATTCACTATTCCTGGCCTCCATGCAGGTAATTGGCAACTCTGCAGTGCGGATTTCTTGGGGCAGGAGCACTGCCAGATCTGGGGCGCAAGTGGGAAGTACCGCAAATGCCCAGAGTTCTATGTCGTATAGCTATCCCACAGGCTACACTTCTGGCTATGGGTACGATGCAACAGCTGGCCATGCAGGGTATGTTTCCAATGATGCGTATTCCAGCTATGGAGGATATGCAGGGGCGTACACGGTGAGTTGGAGTGCTTTGCTTTGTCAGGACACATAATCTTGTTTGGTTGCTGTCTTGCAGAATTGTGCCTCCACGCAATATAGTGGTTTGAAATCTGCAATGTCCCTACAAACATCATGTGATGGTCACTTGTTGTGATCAGCCACAGTTCACAGGTGTAATCTGCCGGGAGCGCTAAGGGACAAATGTGCACACAGTTCCTCTGTGAGAGGCAGTCAGGAATAGTGAGCATTGGCATGGACTGGGTTTCTGGAGTGTGCAAGTGAGAGGGGGAAACTTGTTAGCCACAAGCACTCATGGTCTGCATGTTATTGACCCGTGCCAGGATCTTTGTTGGTAAAGGTATGGAGAAGACAGCGATGAAGACATTGCTGGCTTGAATCTGCTACCTATTCAGTGTGTCAGCCTATTAGCATGCACCACGTGTGCTGCATGTTGCATTACACAACTAACAGACATCCAAATGCAGCACAGTCATCTATTGCACACAAGCATCGTACTGCATTCTTCCATCCACAAGTGTTCTAACGATTCTTGGCATTTGCAGGGCCAATCAGCTGTGGGGTACAACATGTCTGGGGCTTCTGGGGCATCTGGCCAGAATGGCAGTTCTAGTGTTGTACAGCCTGCCATTTACGATCCTCGAGCACCAGACGACCTTGACAAGCTGAACGAGGAGTTTATTCTGAGGAACCAACCCCCTTTGGTAAGCTGCATGCTGAGGATGCAGGACTGCTGAAGTCAGCACCTGGATTTTGAGACAAGAAGAGTGGGCACACACTGCGTTCTGCCAAGCAGTGGTGGTTGTGTGGCATATATCGCTTCTTTGTAGTAGTAGGATTCTTTGACGTACGGTGCTGTGAGGGACAAGTGTGAATTGCGCAGCAAGGCGACACAAGGAGTATGGAGTAGAATTGGCACATAGATTAGGTGCAGATTGCAAGATTTCGGTGACAGGCTCTGATTTATTGGTCGACCAGTCTCAATAGATGGGTTCTAGCACGCGTTGTGCAGCTATTGGTCTGGCCCTGGACTGTGCATCAGTACTCATCCGCAGGATTAACGGGCAGGAGATGAACTCATCAGCAGTGATGCATGACTAGTGTCACGTTGACTGCCAGGTGTTATGTTGCTAGTGGGAAACAGAGAGGACAAAAATGTCTTCAGGATCAGCTTTTCCTTGTCAAGTGCGTTCTTCTTTCAACCAACTCTGCACAGAAGTCGATGTCGTTTTGCATTTGATATGTTCAGTCCTCCTGCTAAAGTGCACATCGGAATTGAACGGCAAACACAACACTGATTGCATAGTTTTGTGCATTTTGCATGACGCAAAATCAGATCTTGTCAGGTTTCATGCATACAGTTGTTAGTTTGCAGCGGAAAGCAATGCAGTGGACAGGCACAGCTAACCCATCACGTGTGTTAAGGGCGCAAAGACCACCCACGATCAAACGAGTACCATATACCCCAATCTTGAAGGAAAGCCCGTCGATGCGAATCAAACAGCCACTTTTGGAGTGCACACAGGAAGCACGAGTCCACGATCGCCGATGCTTCAACGGCGTTGGCACAAGTCCAGACGAAAGGCCACACCACACACAAAGCGCCCAGGGCTAACATATTTGTTCACCCTTCCCACAACGAAGTGCCTTGCCGACAGTGGCAACGACCCCTGCAACCGAGCAATTCGAATCTCTTTGCACCTGCAAAACTCTTCTTTTCACATGACAACGACTATCATCGACCACAAACCAGCCACACGACACTTCAAAGATACCCACTCATCCCCACAATGCAACCCACTTCATAAAACATATACCGAAGGTGCCCAAAGTTAATATAGAAATGTTTCAATTGTGAGTGCAACCCCAACCATAGTATTTGTCTCTGAATCAAATGGCATCTCCCACAAAAACTCACATTCATGCTCCCAAAAGTCCCATCATAATAGAAATAATAATTCTGTGAATTTCAAAACACATTTTTTTTATATATTCAGAATGCCTTGCATGTAAACCATATTCCTAAAGTGCATACAGTTCGCACACCATAATGCATAGTGATCCACCTAGTGAAACAGTGGTCATTATATGGTGTTGTGAACACCAAGCAAATGGGAGACCGAGACTCCGACGTCCATCAAGTCAATGGGGAGAGCCCCACAACTGCGGGATTTATTCACAGAGTCCTCCGCTCATCCGATATTTTGCATGTAGAATCAGCTACCGTGCATTTCGCACAGGTCTCTTGATAATTTTCATCCCTACATCGTCAGTCATTTTTCTGCTGCACCCCCTAGATTTTCGCTCGATTGGCGCAAACGGTACCAAGCCCGTTGGCTGTCGACACAAACGTTTTTCTTTTTTGCTGTGGATCTCCCCAACCCACCGCGTGCCGGTGCCCAGGTGCGTTGGTGGAGGTCGTGGGGAAGGTGCACCGGATATCGCACCCCTGCAAACGTGGCGGGAACTAGGATATCTAATGTACAACCGTGTGGCACTCACAGGCAGCACAGCTCCCGCTTCAGGAGACAGCGGGGGGTCCACCAGCAACGGTGACGGCGTGGGCGGGGAGGGGTGGGCTGGGGCACTTGCGTCCCGCTCGCGCTGAATCCTTGTGCCCTCAGCTCCGGGCGACCTGCAGGCTCTGAGCGGGGGTGGGGCTTGGCGAGATGGAGCCCACCAGCCCCAGCGGCGGGCTGATGACGCCGGTGGGCGGGCGCGGGCGGGCTGATGGCCGGAAGGACAGGAGGCAGTCTGCCGGCGAAGGGAGGCCATCGCCCCTTTTCTACGTGTGTCCGTACATCTTGGGTGGGGTATTCGACCCTGTGTGCGTTCGATCTTGCTGCACTGGAATCCTGTGACAGCGCTGACTCGTTTCGGCCCGTTGCTTTGGCGCAGGTTGCGAACTGTGCGAGCGGCTGGCGTTCTATGGGTGAGCACGGGCCGTCCTGGGACGTGCATGAGTCGGATTTGTGCCTGGGGCTTTAGATGTGGGCTGCACCATGTGTGTGATGGTTCCCTTTTCTCACTGCGCCCCGCACCTTTTCGCAGCCACGATTTTGCTGGCACGTTCCAGCAACCTACAAAGGTCCATCGCACGATAGGATTTCGCTATCTCTGTGGAGGAAGTTCTTGCTGAACATGCAGGCTGTCTCGAGTTATGACCAGCGCACAAGGCTTCGATTGCGCCCGCGTCGTGGCCGACTGAAAGCGGCCACCTCGTTTTGATTGGCTGTTCCCAACCGTTGCCACACTGTCGATTGGAGGAGCGATGCCCCCGTCACGCGGATTTCCGCAGCGCCTTCCAGCAGCTGTTGATCACAGCCTTGCTTTTTGTGTGATAGGATCGCGACCAACCTGGTTGTTTATCTGCAATCTGTCGGGCTGACAAGTCTCCAGGCTGCGGTGATGGTGAGTATGTGTCCTTGTCGGGCCAACTGCTCTGTTGCCTTCTGGGCCCTTCTTCGGACGCCTGCACCGGACAAAGGGTCGCCCTTAGAGGCAATGTTGAACTGGGGGTTGCCCGTGCTCAGGTTGTTACGGCTCTGTCCCAGGTACCTGTGTTCGTGGGCAGCTGCTACTTGACACCACTCATCGGCGGCGTCCTTGCGGACTCCTTCTGGGGCAGATACAAGACCATTCTGTACTCGGCGATCACCTACCTCTTCGTAAGCTCTTGTATCTGTGAGACATCTGATGTGCATCATCCACCCCTGTGCTCGACAGCCCATCCGAAACGAACGAGCTATGAGCAGGAAATCTATCCGATGCTTGTGATGGGAATTGAAGGAGAAGACAGTCTTGTACCCTTGTACCAAAGAGGATTGCCTCATCAAAGTCACACGTTCAGGACAACTGCGCCCTGTTGCGTTCCTCCACTAAGTGTGCGACCTTCCAACCTGGCAGGGCATCGTGTTGCTTGCTCTAAGCGCTGGCGTCAAGGGTCTTCATCCAGAGGAGGATGAAGTCATCAATAATGAACAGGCGACATTGTTGTTCTTCGCATTGGGGCTGATAGCTGTGGGCACAGGAGGCATAAAGCCCAATGTAGGATCCTTTGGTGCCGACCACTTTGATGAAACCATAGAAAAGGAGAAGAAGGAGAAGGACTCCTTTTTCAACTGGTTCTACCTCTCCATCAACGTTGGGTCACTTGCGGCAACAACCATCATTGTCTACATCGAGGTCAACATAAGCTGGGCTCTTGGGTTCTTGATCACTGGTGCGTGACACCACAGGCAAAGTTTCTCTGTTTGGTTGCAATTGTTGCGTTTGTGTTTGCACGCTGTCAATTTTGCTCTGCAAGGTATCTTCCAATGGAAGGTAGGAGAGAAGCTGTTAAGGCGGGCTTTTTGCCTGATGCATGGTGAGTTCTTGTTCGGTGCAGCGCAACTTCTTCTACATCTGGCTTGTTGATAGCACTCAGTGTGCAAATGGGATGACAGCTGGGTGGAGTGTATCGGCGGAAGTGTTGGGTGTGATGGGGGGAACATGGCCATCAGGGAATCTGATGTGATGCAGGCAGTGTACTCTGCATATTGCTCCAGTTATTGGGACTCAGCATGTGAATTTTTGTGTGTGTGGCAGCTATCGCGATGGCACTGGCGATTGTGGTGCTTGTGTTGGGTAGCCCAAGGTATCAACACTGCCCGGTTGCAGATTCGCCACTTATGCGTGTTGCGAAAGTTGTTGCTGCTGCACTCACAACGAAGAAGAGGAATGTGTCAGAGCTTGAATATGATGTGACAGTGGAGAACTTCGAAGATGCCAATGTGCCATTGTTGCCTGGACCCAAACATGACCAAGTGGCCAACAGTGGAAAACCACACTGGCTCGATGCAGCAGTTGGGCACAGGGACAGAGGTATGAAAAGTGCACAAGAACTGAACAGCCGGCGTGTAGGCACACAGTAAGCAAGAAGTTAAATGTTCGTCGTTTGCTGGTGTGGCCCACAGAATGTGCATGGAATTCATGAACTGGTGAATGTGTGCATGATTTGTTACCTCCTGCTGCAGTCCTGTGGATGTGGGTAGGGAAGTGATCTGAAGCATTGGATACCCAAGTTGATTCTGTGCTGCAGCAATTTGTGCACTGGTGTTTGGGTTGCAGATATTATTGTACAGTTTGTGTATTGAGACATGACACATTGGATATCGTTGGCAGGCTTTGGGTCAATGTATCCGTGGAACTTTGTGTTGTCTGGCTTCACTTCTTTGTAATTTTGTGCTCCTGGAATGACATACACGAACTTACGTTGTAGTGTCAAATTTGTGAGTGTGCACAATGTACGCAGGACTCTTCACTGAAGACCAGGTGTATGAGGTGAAGCTGGTGCTTGGTGTTTTGCCTGTGTTCTTCACCACTATATTATACTGGTAGGTGATCAGGGCAGCTGCTGAGTTGCATCATGCCAGAAAAGAGGGAGGGAATTGTGGGGGCGGTTCACAATGACAGTTTAGATGTTGTTGGAAATTTTACTGCTGATGTCAATTGACACATCTGGGCAAAATCTCTATTCTCACAGATCTGAGTGCATGTTATTCAAACACAATTCTCTGGTTCCATTGCCTGATCAACACTCTCGAAGTCGACACAGCTTCGCCCTGCAAATTGCAGCCTTGGACAAAGTGTTGGTGCTCCTTTATAATGGCTATTCTGTTGCCTTCGATCAGTTGCCACCGACCTTCCATGGCTGCTGCGGTCAGTTTGCACCTCGCCCACAAGATAACCTTTGCCGGCCCGTACAGTGGACCTGGGGCACACAGGTGTTCCATTTCATGTAGCTGTTATGGAAGGCTCACGAATGCAGTATAATTGCATGTGCAGTTGGTACAGAGCAGGTCTTGTGGTGCATTGCAGGACTGTGTACTCGCAGATGTCCACCTTCTTTGTCCAACAAGGCACCCTCATGAACCTTAGCGCAGGCTTCTTCACCATACCCGCTGCATCGCTCGCTGTCTTCGATGTGCTGGCCATCATCATTCTCATCCCCATCTATGATCGTATAGTCGTTCCATTCATGGAGAGAGTGTGGCGGAGGCCGACAGTGCTGGAAAAGATAGGGGCTGGATATTTGATGGCAGTAGTCGCCATGGTTGTGTCCTTCTTCATTGAGAGGGAGAGGCTGCACAAGTTCAAGGATGGCGAAGTCATTCCTCGTGAAAAGCAGGAGACACACAGTGATGCTCAAGCTGTTGACATGAGTGTCTGGTGGCAGTTCTTCCAGTACTTGGCTATTGGTTTGAGCGAGGTTTGGGCATCCATTGGACAGTTGGAGTTCTTCTATGACCAGGTATAAACAGCAGGCTGTGGTGCCATGTGAGTGTACCTGTCCTCCTGAATGGGTCTGTCTGCGCTTCACCCTTCATCAGGTGGCAAGTTGCTGAATTTCCTTGAGTGGAGTTGAATTGAGCTGATGTCCACTCATCATACAGAAGTTTTCAAGCAGGCAGACAAGTGTCCTGCAAAGAGTGAGCAGTCAGTTGCGGTGGACATGAGGAGAGACTTTCAAAGTGTTCTCCCTTCTCAGATGTTCACCGCAACTGTCATTGCATCATTGCCAGTGCTGCGTATTGAACTTACGCGAGATGCCCGCTTTTTGTCCAGGCCCCTGATGTCATGCGCAGCTGCATGGTGGCCCTCCAGCTCTTCAGTGTGGCTTTGGGCAGCTACGCTGCTGGCCTCTTGGTGTGGGTCATAAATTTCTTCACAAGAAAAACTCATGGCGGGGAATGGATACCCCCCGATCTGAACCAGGGCAGACTGGACCTAATGTACTTGACCATCGGCGGTAAGCTCACAGGCCTGTGAAGGCAGCCACTGTGAAAGATCAGCACTGCATCAGTGTTAGTGGTATACAGTGTGGTTTGATTGACTGTCCAAAACTAGTAGCTTGTAGAAGAGCCACTGTTCAAAGTGCTGTATGGCTGGGAGGACAATACACTCGTGCATGTGGAACCAGAACTGAACAATCATTGGCCGATGGCCAGCGTGTCTCATGTCCTCTAGTGATGCATGTGCGGGCAGTGCTGCTGAACGTGCTGGTTTGCTGCTCCCACAAGGCTTCATCTGAGCCATGCCATTTCTATTGAAGACATTTTCTGCTTTATTTTTGAGCACCTTCTGTATCTGAGCTGCATGGACACACCACAGTGTGATGGGCATTAGCAGCAAACCGCCATTTGGCACTGCAAAGCAATTGCTTGGTTCACAGTAGGACACATTATTTCAGCTCACCTGCGGTGATTACACCCATGCTGTGTGACTCCAGGAATTATGCTGGCGGACACACTGCTGTTCCTATACGTGGCAATGAAGTACGAGTACAAGAAGGTCATACACACGCCTGTGCGTCCCCCAACTGTGCCGGTCCCCATTGGCCATGCCACCCAGAACAAGGCTGGAACAGGGGACTATGTGTCGGGATCGGGGGCATCGACGTCTGAGGACCTGGCGACAAGCGCAGAAGGCTACGAGAGTGTGGAGGTCTATGGAAGGTCGGTTGCCTACAGGCCGTCCACTCCAGCGACGTTTCCACCCGAACTGAAGTAGCTGTGAACCACCAGGGTTAGGACCACCAGTGAGGGGATGCAAGTGTATTGTAGTTTGGTTCATGCTGCAAAGGAGCTGCTGTGGCAGTGTTGGAGGCGTAAAGCCATCAGCCACAAGAATCAGGCACCGTCGGTGCATGAGGGCAGTTGTCATCTGCCGCCCATTTACATTGGAGCAGTTGTCGTATTGCTTTGCAGCTGCTTCGGCATTACTCACAATGCGCGTCCAAGCTGGCTGGTGTTGACTCTCTACTGCTATTTTGAGCTTGAGGGCGTCCTTTTGGCCTTAGTTTCGACCAGAGAATTTCTTGGACAACTGACGATTTGCTATGCCTCGTGCACATCAATGTGCTGGCATTGAGTGACGGATGACGGGGGTTCTTATTGTCTCATTGTTTGCGGTCGAGTTCCTTCAAGCCCCAGTGTGGACGCTCCCGACAAGGCATTGGTGGCTTGTCTTACTACTGTACAATAACAGCAGTGAGGGCCTGGCTCGGCGATCTTTTGGGAAGGGGCTAACGAGAGTGGCAGCGGGGGAGTGTGCGATCGGCGAATTGCACAGAAGTCCTCTGTTCTGCGTTCTTCAGGAATCTGATACGGTTTGTTGGGATGTGGAAGAGATTGTACGTGGCTTTGAGAGGTGTACTTTTCGGCCCATCTTTGACGTGACACATAATGAATGTCCAGTCCAGACCCTGTTGTGATAAGCATTCCCATCTCCTGCATTGCACAAGATGCAGTCTCCCTGATGAACCTTGCGTTATATGTTTGTTTAGCCAGTTTCACAGGGCATCCAGGTCAACTGATTTGTTCGCATCCAGTCGAGAGCGTTTCCCTACATCAGCATGCCAAGATATATGGGCAAACAGCGCATTGGTGGCTGTCTTTATCGTACGTTTCCCTCTGCCAAAATTCCTATTATGTGCTCAGCTTGCTGTGAACTGGTTTGAACGGATTGCACTTAACAATGCTTTTGTTCAGATGTCTGTTCCCCACACACTGCATAACTGTGCTTCAGCCACAATACCCTGATGGATCCATGATGGAACCCACTGGGTTGGAGCTCGTGTTGCGGTGGACCCGTGATCTTGTGAGGGTTTAGTGCGGTTGAGCATGGGTGGCAACAATTCCACGATTGACAGGCCGGTGTGATGAGCGATTTTCATGACGCATCTCGTGATGGAATCCAGCTCTCAGACGGGCAGCAAGCTGGCGATATAATGGAGCCTGGATTTTGCGTGGGGCTTGTCTTGTTGGCGCATATAGGACCAATTGCATTGTGGCTCTTGGTCGATTTAAGACCCCTGAAAATGCCACGAGCATTAGGTGTTCACCATGGTTGCGACGGCGCTCCCAAGTTTGTTGCAATCCTGTTGTATGGCGTGACTCAATGAACAGTATATTCCTTTGGGTCATACATTTTGGTTTGTTGTTAAAAGGCTGTCGTGTAATGTTCTAATCAGTTGTGTCAAACCGTTCACATGGGCTCAAACGACAGTTCAACTTGCATCTTATTGGGATCGGCGCATTGTATGGACTGGTACCCGACCTGTTCTTCGTTAAACTCGGTTCCTCCTCACCCTTACACCTGGAGTTTGGCTCTCAACCTGGCGAACCCGTTTCTATTTGCTTTTGAAATATATCGTGTACAAAGGACACTGACATGCATGGCCGATGCGTCCTTGAAGCTAAGATGGCGCTTTTGCTTCCTCGGTAAGGGCCCACAATACTGAGAAATCCGCCGGACTTCACTGCGAGCCCCTTGCTTAGCACTGCACAAGCAAGTATTGAAATCACCCACAGCTGGCTGTAATCACTACGGTTTGAAGCTCCACGCTTCGCTTTTGGAAATACTGAAAGTTAGGGCAATTGACCAGCTGGATGTCAAATATTTCCAGGTGACTCCGATGCACCCCTCATGCCCCTAGGAGCCATTGGATGTTTTTGAGAGAATTTGACATATGCTATGCGCGCAAGGGATCAGAATATGATTGGATAGTTTATTTTGCGACATTGTGCTTCGACGCGGAACCAAGAAGACAAGGTCATTGGGACCATTGAGGCCATTGTGTGGCTGCCCTAAAGCATAGCCACGATGACCACTAACCGGGTGGTCCAATGTGGGACACCTTGAACTTGGGCTTCCTTTTATCCTGGAGTCCTACAAGAATAATTCATTCGTTGCTCGTGTACTTCGAGACGACCCGTGCAACACATGGTCTGTTGTTGTGGGCGTCCCTCTGAAGCCCCCTTTCCACCACATTTGACATGTCCCAAATTAGGGCGATGTTGGGATCAGGGATTTGATATTGAAGACACTTGAATGCATATAATCATCATGCCATCCATCCCATGCGCCCTCCCATCACTTCCTAAGCAACACAAAGGCCCATGGTCTGCGATGCTGGCTGCTTTTAGGCCAGCTTGGCCCATCGAGCTCGCATGTCCATACTATAGCGGTACAATCGTGGAGCATTGTGTTGCATTGTGTTACTCCACTAAATTTCCTGCACATTTCATTTGGGTTATGGAACGCGTTGTATCGATTTCATGCGCTTAACATCAAATTGACGCTAAGCTCAGTTCCTGCGGCAAGAGCTGGTTTGTTTGGGGTCCCAAGTTTACTCCGCAAAGGCATAAGAAAAGTTCCAAAACGCAGAACATGCAAATTCGAACGAGCGTGTACTTGAAACCTTCGAATAAGCACAAGTGAGGAGGTCCTGTCCTTGAGTCAATTATGGTTGTCAATGTTTTGTGCGTAGAAATTGTTCTCTTTGAGTTTTCTGGATTGTAGGTGACCATTTCCACCTGACCGGTCTCCTGCACCCACCCGGTCATGTTCCCCACACGACAAGACATTTCCACCAAGGACGACGTTGGTTGGGCTGCGCCGATGATTCAAATCTGTAGCAGTTGAATTCAAACCGTTTTCTGGCCCCTCTAATACCTTGGGTCAGCCAATGTACGGAGTTTCCAAGGTGCCGTCAGTTTGGTGCCCTTGGACATTGCCCTTGGACACATTTTCTGTGGACATATTAACAAGATAATTATTTGCATTTATTGAGCACATTGGGCACTGGCTGTAGTTTGGACATTGTCATTGCCGGTTTCGGCTCTTAACCCGAGGAAAAATTGACAGAGCGTCGCAAAACCACAAACGTATCGTGAACTGCTCGTTGTGTAATGCGTCATAGAAATGTCGCTGCACACGGCATGACAAGGACTCTTGTGTTGACAGTTCGACAATCGTGCACCACCAGTGTCCTGGCCGTGACCATAAACACCTCGTGCAACGATTACATCTGCTCCCACCTGTGTGCATGGCCAGCTGATTGTTCGCCCAGCAGAATGTATGAGTTGGTCGCGCACATTAACATTGGAAGGTCAACAACATACTCATATTGCACGCAGTGAGTGTCATAACATACTGATTCGGAAGAAATTGATACTACCACCTCCGTTCCAAAAGTCGCGTCCGACCTCACATCTTATTGAAACCTTGGAAGATCAAATCAACCAGTCAATATATCAGCAGATTCGAATTCCTTGGTTGATTATAGGTTGATACAGATCTTCATTACATTAGTCATCGCCATAAAACACGATATTCACAGCCTAATCAAAAACGCCCCAGTCCAATTCATGCGGGACTTCAATCCCCCGCATTGTTGCGTTGGCCTTGTTCCGGTATGTCACAACCCATTTCCTGAAAATTGATGAAGGGCTTTGTTGTAGGTAAGAAATAGGCACTATCAAAAAGTTTCAACAGCTCCCTTACCATTATTATCATACATTTTATATATTGTCTTTTTCAATATGCTGAATCATGTTTTCAAAAATCAGCTTTCGCTCATTGGCCGTGTTTGCATCAACTTAGACCGTCTTTTTAGTCAGCATCCGTATTTGCGGCTTTCCAAACCTTGGCACATTTACTAGGTACTTGCTTTTGCACTGATCGAGGTGTTTCTTTGCATTGGGCGCAACCTTTGCGCTGCTCTTGTTGACACCCCAAATGTTGTACTAAGCTTCAATCTCTTTCCTCATAGATTCTGTTGGGAATTGAGCCGCATCTTTAGGGGTGACCAAACCACCAAAGCATACTCTCTCCTAGTGATAGCTCGGTTGTGTCCATCCCCTTTGAAGGGCAAAAGCAGCTCGGCATGCCACGTCCCAGTTCCCGACAAAATGAAATCCGCATTTGAGCACCTCTTCACATAATGCGAGAATGGCGGCGCCATTTGACACGTTAGGAGACTCTTGGGGGAGATCTTTTTATGGCGCAACGAAGTTGTTCTAGTCAAATTTTCTGCCTCGCACGTTTTGACCTCCGCAGATTTGAATTCGGACACGACTTCTCGAACAGAGGCAGTATCAGTATCAGCTTAAAAGGAAAACGTGGCAAGCCAACAAACGGGGCACTATTGGGGTCTGGGCGTCGTTGGGAGGGCGGTGCATGGATACGCACACGGTCCATGCCCCGCCCTCCATTTGGACTGCGCTCAATAGATTGCCCCGATGGAAGAACGCCATCATGAATGGTAGCAATGCAGTCGTGAAGGCATGAGCATGGGTTCTTCATCGTGACCGAACAGCCTCGCGTGCCCCGCGCCGAGCGGAGGGTCGTCCTCGCCGTATCCAAGAGCTCGGCAGTGGCGCCCGCTGGGCGTCCTCTGTCTCCATGCAGGCACCCGCGTGCCTGCTGCCCCTGTTCCTCATCCTCGCATTGGCAGTGGGCAGTGCCGTTGGGAGCGAAGACATCGTGGGCTTGGGCGGGTTTGTGAAGGTGGGAGACCCTGCTCGATTCTGATCAACATAACGAGGAACAGCTTGCCACATGTAATATCGCGCTCCCTGGCTGTTCAGTGCTGTTATCGCCAGTGCTTAGCTCAAGGGGTGCAGCACCATAGAGTTGTTTGTTAGTTGAGCTGCAGATCAACACCTGCACCAAAAGATCCATCTTCGAATCATTCACGAGACGCACAGCTGATTCGTACATTCCATGCAACGGGGGCCTTTGCTGGTTTTCTGAGGTGAAGCCTTCATTTATCCTGCTTCGTCCTGAGCTGCCCTGCAGGAAACAAGAGAGCTTGAGGACGTTTCTGGAGGTTCTCACGATTTGTCAGACGTCACGGTCGAATTGTACACCCAAGGTGGTGTTCGCACGTACTCCACGGAGTGTGCCCCCAATGGCTATTACTTCATGGCTATCTACGAAGCAGGTAAGCGTTGTGTTAAGCATTGGAGTGTACACACTATGTTATGGTGTTGTCGCACATGGAGGTGGTGATGGTGTCCTTTGTGTCATAGAAAGGTCACCTTCTACTTGCCTATGCCCATGTTCGGTCCAAGCGGCAGTGGCACATCGAATGAAAGAAAACATTGATTTTATTTTGTCTATCCTGGTGGACCTCAGGATACAACTTGTCAAGCCCGCAGTTTCATGCCTGTGCAGATTGTCTTGCCTCCAGGAAAAATTGCAGCACCAATTGCTGGGTGCAAACAATGGAAAGGAGAGCAAATACTGTCGTTCATATGTATGAGGTGTATGGAAGGGTATGGAATGCAAGGAAAACATTCCACTCTTTGTCAAGTGACATAAGGGCACTTCTGCTAAATCATCAAGCAGCAACATTGTTGTTGCACGGGAGATACAAGCCTTGCTAATCACAGTGAATGTGGTTGGTTGTGTTGTGAAGCCCTTGCAGACATGCACAAGGAGGGTGAATCTCAAAGGTGCTGCTTGGAGGAGATTGTGGGAAGGGAGTACTGAAGCTGTACATCAACACTTGCATTGCAGGAACTTTTCTTGTGAAGCCAAAGGGGCCACCAGGATGGGTAGTGGAGCCCTCTGAGGTCAGTGATGCATAGTCCTTCACTGCCTTGACATGGGCTGTGGACTGTGAGGTGATTCTGATGCCCCTCAGCTGATGTCTTTGGACCAACATGGCTTTGTTTTGCCTGCAGATTCGAGTAGAGTGTGTTGGTGATAAGGTAAGACGTATGGAAGATAAAATGTGATCATATGGTAGCATTTGCCAAGCCATCTGCCCTTAAAACATGTGCAAACATGGGTTTTGGGTGCTAGACTGTCTGCGCACTGTGGAACATGCAATAGGATGCATACATGAAAAAATGTATTCTGAGGACTAAAGCACATGAACGCGCTTCTGCACAGATCACAGCAATCGTGTTTGGAACGGTTATCAAGCATTACTTCTTTTTCTGTCCATGCACTGAATGTTGCCCTTTACCTGTTTTTTGCTTGTACTGTTTATATGGTTTTGGAAAGATGAAGGGATGTAAGCCTGTCAACCAATGATTTCTGGATTGTTATATGCTCCATGTGGGCATGTCGCTGTTTATGGACTGGAGCTCTCTATGTATCATTATCCAGACAGATGCCTTGGCCACAATGTTTCATAGCCTGTGTTTCACAACTAAGCGCACATGTGGTCTGTGTGTGCAGTGTGCTCAAGGGAAGGATGTCAACTTTGAAGTGAAAGGATTTGCAGTGTCTGGGCAGGTAAATATGAACTGGATGTGGTGCTGCTGGCCGACAGTTATGATAACTTGACAGACTATGTATCTCTGTCCTTATCTTTGTACTACCAAACATAGTTTGTCACAAGCTCGCACTGTATTTGTCATTGGTTATTTGTAGTTTCTGGAACTGCCCACAAGATATTGTGCACATCAAACTGAGAAAATTCTCCACTGACTCAGATTTGAACACCATTGCCTCATGCCCTGGTATTTTGTCCAGATGCTCCATGCTCGCTTTGACATGCTGTTGGCAGGTTCGTTATTCATCGACAGAGGGTTGTTCAAGTCCGGCCCCAAAACTTCAGTCAGTTGCTGTTTCTTTAACTCCCAAAGGTGAGCCATGCCATCATATCCATTTTTGTATCACAGGTCTGTGGGCTGTGGCATCTTGTTGAGATCTCTTCAGGCATATGTGTACGCGTTGTTGATTGAGTTTGGCAGTCTACAGTTTGCTGTCGAACCAGGATCTATCTTGCAAGTGTGGCTTTTCAGTGCCACTGTGTGCTCCACATCATTCGTGTGCATCCAGGATCCTCTCGAACTCTGAGCACTGTGAAGGCTTCCATCGACGGCAAGTACAGTTTCGGGCCAGTCTTGCCAGGCAAATATGTGGTGAAAGCAACTCATCCTTCATGGAGCTTGGCCGGGCCTGCATCTGGACTTGACATCCTTGTCGGCTGGGGTCCAGCAACGGTACCATCGAGCTTCACAGTGGTCGGTGAGTATCAACCTGGAGTATTTGCACCATGCCACAGGTTTGACTGCAGTGGTGCCTGATGTTCTCCATCTTCAGATAGTACTATCTCCGTTTTGTACTCACAGCTTTTCATGTGGGGGAATTGTGCTGTCTGGGTTCCCAGGTGGCTGCAGGTCACGTACATTGTGAGGCCACTAAGGTTCATGGCTGGAAGTGAAGGTTTTGCTCTGCTGCACTAGGCATCATGGAATGGCGGGAAGCAAACACTTTTCGCCAGTTCCCCTGCTAAGTCATATTGAGGCAGAGCTCTCATGAAAGCCACATGCCATGTTGTTGTGAGCATTCTGAGAGTGTCAATGGCTGATTGTGTGTTCCTCTGACCTGACAGGGTATCCAATGGCTGGGAAAGTTGAATGGCAGAACAAGCCAGTGGCGGGGGTTGAAATCCTGTTGTACAATGAGACAGCAGTGGCTATGAACTGCCCTGCACCCCCAACTTCAGAGCCAGCCAAATCGGCGAAATATGGTGTTCTGTTGTGCTACACCACAACGGGCAAAGACGGAACATTCTCATTCACATCTGTACCGTGTGGAAAGTTTACTGTTGTTGCAAGGTATGTACGCCAAGAAGATGCCCGTTCCAGAGCAGCTGGAGAGTGTGGCTTATGTGTCCATTTGTTGTGTTGTAAGCCAAGCCTCAGATGAACAGTTTCTAAATGAATTGATGCCTAGCACATATCATGGCACAGGTTGCGGTTATGTCACAGGGTGCTGCAGATTGGCAATACCAAACTATATACGATTCATCTTGTCAAGATGTGTTCATATGCTCATGCATGGACAGTGTTGTTGATGCTGGTTCCCAAAATATCTTGGTGATGGACGTTTGCAAGAAATGAAATCTGTAATGGGCCAGTGGTGAGGCGTCAGCAGGTGTCAGAGACAGTGTTTGTGAATACATGGCTTTCTACACTTGCTTTGGCCTGAAGTTTTGGACTCTTCTTGGGGGCCGTCTGCAGGTATCATACCCCCTTAGCACAATTCGAGGTGGCTCCTGCATTTCTGGAGGTTACCATGGGCCATGGCTCTTACCAACTGCCATCCAGTTTCCAGGTCGCCGGTTTTTCTGTTGGTGGCCGTGTTCAACACTCCAGCACGGGAGGGGGCGTTGCAGGTGCAGATATACTCACAAATGGGAAGAAGGCAGCAACAACCGACAAAGATGGCTATTATGTGCTGAGCGAGATGCAGGCAGGAACATACACAATTGAAGCAGCGAAAGGTGGTATCAAATTTACCAAGCTAACAGGGGTCCAGGTGTGTGGATGGCTATATACTTGCCTGTTATGGGCACATAGTGTCCCACAAAAGGTATCCTTGGTTGTGGTTGATCCTGCATTTCACAAACCCTTAACAATCACAAAACAGTGCATTGTTACTTGTGAGGCTTCAGCTTTTTGGTAGAAGTGATTTTTGTGGTTATTTCGTTAGTGGGCCTCCAATCTCTTCATTGGGACATTGTGCCTAAAGCTCTGCAGTGTGGCAGAGTTCTCATCACTTGTGTTCTTACAGGTGGAACCAGCCATGGACGCACTTCCTGGTCTGGAGGCAACAGAATACTCCGTGTGCGGCAGTGTTGTTCTGGATAGCCCTCAGTTTTCGCCCCAGCAGCGCATAGCAGTGTCCAAGGCACAGGAAGCGAAGCCCATATCAACACTCACCAGCGATGCGCAGGGCAACTTCTGTGTATATCTGCCCCCAGGACACTATGGTGTATCTGTGGTGGCAGCTCGAGGGGATGTGGCCAAGGGGCTGATCCTGGGGCCTGCAAGCAATGATGTGAAGGTTGTCGATGCCCCCGTGGATGGCATTCGTTTTATGCAGCACCAAGTCGCACTGACAGCCAGTGTCAAGAAACTGGTGAGAGCTGTGATCATATCAGGCTGCTGTGTCTTCTGTATGGTGATACTTGTGCTTCAGCTGCTAGCAGAACCCTTCATTGTGTGCAAGCTACCAAATTTTTGGTTTTGCACATTGACAAAGCAAGGTTGACTGCCAGTGCCCCTGTTCATCGTTGCTGATGCCCACTTGTAGCAACTTTCAACTTGTGTGATGTACACAGGACTCCCAAGCTCCATGGGGCAACATAGTCGTTGAACTTTCTGGTGGCGATGTTGGGGTGCAGAGAGCTGTTTTGAGTGCAGATGATGGTAAAGGCATTAGCCTTGAAGAAGTTTCGGAGACTGAAGTGCAGGCCACTTTCAAGGATTTGGTCCCAGCCAAACTAATGCTAAAGGTAAGACTTGAATGACAGTAATAGATGTGGTATGTGACTGCAGTCGCATTGGCATCGCAGCTCGTACTGTGAAAACAGAACAAAGACGGCAACTATTGTTGTGGCTATCTGCTGCTGATCGCAGTTGCTGTTGTTTGGAAGGTTGTGCGTGAAGGGTGGTGCTGGCAGCAGAAGGAAGTCGCCATTTCCCTTGGTGACAAAGACGAAAAGGCCCAGCCGTTCGTGCAGAAAGGTTACATTGCAAAGGTAAGCACTGGTTCCACAGCAGCAAAACCCACACCTGTTGCCAAAATTCTGCAGTGAAGACGGCACAGTTTCTTCGAAGCTGCTGGCCATGGTAGTGCTGGTCGTTCGGCATTTAATTTGCGCGACAGATAATATTCGTTTCTGCAAGATTCATGGGTAGGACAGCAAAGATCTGCAGGGAATGCACATCTGCATACAATGGCACTGGTGTCATGGTATGTGCTTTTTGTCTGACAGGTGACATTGAGCCATTCAAGCACGTTGCAAATTGATGGACCAGCCATGAAGAAACAGGAAGAGCTCAGTGCTGGCACACACTCACTGTGTTTCCCAACTTTGGAGCTGTACAATGTCAGACCCTCTGGGTGTTACTATTTCGGACAGGTGAGCTGCTTGTGGAAACACCTATTTGTATTTCCCACTATTGGCAACGGTTGGTTACACGTGTCGCATCAGTTTTGTGTATGCACAAATCCAATGCCGTGCAGGGTGAGGCTCTTTGCTGTGTTGAGTTTCCTCGATGCCATTATTGCTATAAAGTTGCCTGCACCGAATTCCAGTAAAGGCAAAATGTATGTTCCCTTTTGGCAGGACGTTGTCCCTTTGGATCCCAAAGCCTCAACTGCTCTCGCCCTCAAGGCTACCCACTTCTTTGCCAGTGGCACCATCACCATGGCAGGAAAGGGGGGAATGCCTAAGGAGCCTGTGAGCGTTGAGGTTGCATCACGAGACACAGGGAAGAGTGAGAGAGTAGTTGTGAAGAAAGTAGGCAGCGCTCTGCGTTATGATGTAAAGGGTCTTCTCACTGACATTTTGACGCTGAAGCCAGCAGCCCACACTGAGTTGTTGTTTCGACCTGATCAACTCACAGTGAAGCACACTGGCACCAAATGCCACCCAGAGCTCCCCGCCTTTGAGGCTCGACAAGGTGCCTTCATAGCGGGCAGAACAGTCCCACCAGTGGCAGGTGAGTTGGTGAGCAATGAGCCCAATCGCACAGTGCTGCTGGGATGATCAAACCTGCCTTCCGCTTTGGAGGGGACTTTGGAGGGTCCCATTTGTAACCCAGACTTGGCACCTAGCATAAGCCTGGCATATTACTGTGCACGTCGTGTCAATGATCGTCATGCTGTTGTGGGGCATGCGACTTTGGCCATGTCACTTGGCACAGAGCCTTTGAATCGCCGATGTCTTTGCATGGTTTCAAGCTGAATTGTTGTGCTACCTGATGTGCATACTTGCATTGTCTTCTACAGATGTGAAAGTAACGGTGTCAACGATGGAGCTTGGATCTAGGATTGATGTCGGCAGCACTGCAACAAGTGAGTCTGGGTCGTTCAGGTTCGGCCCTGTGCAAGATGATCAACAATACACTGTCGAAGTTGTGAAAGAAGGCTATGAATTTGTGCGTGAGAGCAAAGAGGGTAGTAGCGAATTTGTCTTCAGGGCCAAGCAGCTAGCAAAGGTATGTAAACATTGGCAAAAATGCAAGAGCACAGTAGATGGGGCTGATGGGGATGGAGATTGTAGAGGGATCCCTTGCAAGACTCTGGCAGCGAATTGGAACGAGGCATATCTTGGGGGCCCTTGGCAGGGCACGGTGCAATGAGTGTTTTTTGCAAACATACCTTGATGAGAGGAGAAAAATGAGCTTGTCCACCAGCCATTCATGTTGCTCATGTTCTCCTTATCTTGTCTGCTTATCCTGAATGTGGCGAAAAGAAAAGTACCGATGCTGAGCATCGCATCTTTGGGTGATTCGTGGTTAATTTGGGCTGATTGAGCTAGACTAGCCTCGCTACCCAAGTCCTGTGGGTCCCCTGCCGTCGACTGTTTGATACAGTACAGCCGAGCTGCACAGCGACTGTCAGCTGTCAACTGCTGTCTGGGCGTTGATGTTTTTAGCTGTTTCTGTTGCTGCTGTTTGGTCCCCTATCATGCTGTTGTGTAGCGCAGGTCGAGGTGGTGATAGAGGTTGACTCAGCGGATCAAGAGGGGGTGCTGGTGGTACTCACTGGAGGCAGCTACCGCAACAATGCAAAAACCAACAAGGATGGGCGTGCAGCGTTTTGGAACTTATCTCCAGGCTCATACTATGTGACACCGTTCCTGAAGGAGTATCAATTTGAGCCTAACAGGAGAGAAGTGGTTGTGGAGGAGGGGAAGGACGCAACCCTGACCTTCACCGCCAAGAGAACTGCATTCAGCGTGTTTGGGAACCTGAAGGCTCTGAGCGAAAAGGTGTGTTGAACAGGTATCCATCTGCCAATGCCGACCTCCATCTTCCACCTTTCATGTTTTGCAGTGTCGATGATGGACTGTGCTGGGTGAACTACCATTCAAACATCGAATGCATCATACATCAAGACGTCCATGCGTCGTTCATTGTGAATTTCTTGATGATCGTGATTTATGACTTTTGTGCTGCTGTTTTTGGTGAGTTTGTGCTCCTGTTGGCTGACAGAAGTGTGTGGAAGGGTCCTTCACAACCCATTCCCTGTGATTTGGTTTTCTAAATTTTCTGCTGCTTTGTGGTGCACAACGCTACCTAGGCAGTCGGCAACGCCATCGTTGAAGCAGTTGGGACAAATGATCTGTATGAAAGCGGCACAACAGGGGCGGACGGTTCGTACCGCATACGGGGACTCAAGCCTGGCATCAAATATGCTGTAAGGGTGGTGCAGTCTGGCGACGTTGAGCGGGGATGGCCAGAGAGTCGAGAGGTGAATGCTTAGCTTTGTTGGGCCCTGTGTACTGCATTGCAGTTGCAAATGAGCTGTAGGGACAATATGCCAGTGTCTAGCAGTGACTGGCCAGTCAGTCCAATTTGACATCCGTTTTTGTGCCTCCGATGACAGATTGTGGTCAAGAACAAGCCCGTAAGAGGCGTGGACTTCAAGGCCCTCCTGAGGCCTTCTGGCTACCGCATTACTGGTGTTCTGGTGACAGCTCTGGACCATCTGAATCAAACAACGCTGGAAATCGCTCAGTTAGCAGAGGATGGTGCAATCATGTCCAAACCTGTGCCTCAGCTGCCTGTTGATGTCAGCCAATTCTTTGAGGTTGGAGGCTTACCGGCAGGACGCTATGCAGTGAAGCCAGTCAGCCGTTTGCCTCAATCCAACTATGAATGCAATGGCAGTGAGGTGGTGGTCACTTTGGGGCACGGCCCTCAGGAGGTAGGCTGGTTCGTCGTGCCGTGCTGCTTTTTGTACAGTTTTTGACGATGGAAGAATGCAGTGCACTCAATGCACCACGCTTGCCCATTCAATCTACCGCGGAATGATCCTTTCTATTCCCCTTTGTCTTCCTTCCACAATTGCCGATACACTGAAGCAATATTGTCAGTCTCTATCTGTGCCTGGTTCACAGCGCTTGAGTTCTCAATGTGTTTGTACCCTTTCGCACATGAAACTAGGCGCATGGCAATCCTGTCACACAAAGGGAAAAATCACGGAAAACAATACCCACGCCTTGCGATGCAGTGGGCTTGCTGGGATGCCAGCAGTTCTACTGTTTCAGTGTTCCTTGTGCTCTTCTTTCCCATCAGGTACATGCTGGCGAGGTAAAGATGTCCTGCACAGTACGCACTTCAGCTTCAGATGGTGAATCTGTCTCACTCTGGCCCATACTGCTGGTCATCCTGGCTGTTGTGGCGGTGCAGTGGCGATCTTCAATACAGGTGTGTACTCTCAATACCGAATATATGGCACGGCACCGCCGACTTGGCGACAGAATTGCAGCTGCAGCATCGACGAAACATTGTGTTTTGCACGAGGTTTATGCAATTGCTGCTTGAAACCGGTGGCCGATTTGCCAAGGGCTGTGTGGAAGCTCGTTTGCCTGATGCAAATATCAGCGCACGTGAGCAATGGTGGATGTCAACTATATTTCAGGGCGCTTTGCTGATGCGGCGCTCCTCTCGTGATGTCTGCAGGGCTTCCTGAGCAACGTTCGATAATGATCCCAGACCCAACTGTTGCTGCGGGTTGGCCCGATTGCTGGAGAATGTCCTCACAAACAGCGAAGCATGACTGCGCAGGGATGGTCAGCATCATTCACCACCGGCTAGAATGAGTTCAGAAGTCCTGCCTCTGGTGCGGGGGTCAGGTGGTGGATGTGCCAATGGACTGCACATAGCAGCGTCCTTTTGAATGGTGCTTGCAGGTCCATCATCATTTGGCCCGTGTTCTCTTTGTTGTTGTTGTCCGAGGAGAGCAAAGCATCATCAGAAAATTGGATGATTCTTTGATGTTGACCATCTCTTTGGTTGGGTTTCAGCCCAGTGTTGGTTGGAGAATAGATATCTCTATAGGCATGATGTGCGCCAAACATGCCTGAAGGTGCGCTATCCACGAGCACCACATAGCAGCAGCAGAGCAAATTGCTACCCATTGCTATGTAAACGCTGCTTCGTTTGCACCACATGCCATGTGCAAGCACCTGATCCAATCACCATATCACATATTGTCATCTTGTTCAGAACCCAATTCGTCCATGCCTATCAGGGCTGTCCTGTGGCAGGATTTGCAAGTGGATCACACCATACTAACATTGGGCTGTCCCTAGACACTCGGTCATCAGCTATGCCTGGCTGTAGTGGCTTAGCCTGTAGAGGAATACTCTTCCCCTCTCATTTGCAACAGCCAAGAATCCGCAACCTGGACTGAATGCACAACAGGTCGTATGGCTCAGAGGACTCCTGTTCTGCGGAAAGCCCGAAAACACCGTACATGAAGGAAGGTGTACCAGGCGCATGGCGTCCTTTCTCTCTTTGCTTGATATTGCCAACATTTGGGCATCGGGACTGAAGGTCAAATGGTCGACTGGCGTCGTGAGGCTGGTGACGCTCTTCAACAGCGTGGGCTTGAAAGGCTCCAACAGGTCTGCCTCCCTTTTCTCTACCTCCAGTGCCGACCATGGGTAGATGTTCACAACGCCCGAGCTGGACCCCGTGGCAAAATATTTGCCATCAGCAGCAGCAAGCGACCTGCACCGGATGGTCCCCTCATCCACAAAACTGTGGATGCACTGCCGCATGCGCATGTCCCAAGTGTGGACCACTCCACTGCCTGATGTGTGGAGATATTGTCCATCGTTTGAGAACGAAGCACACGTCACGACCCCGCTCAGGCCCAGACTGCCCACAGGTTGCCTGGACTTCAAGGACATCAGGCGGATGGCATCCTGGCGGCCCAGGAAAGCAACCAAGGGTATCTCCTCAGATGGGCTGACAGCACAGGAGCGAACTGTATCCTCGTGCGTCCAAAGCGGCTCAAACACCCTCTCCACCTTTGAGGCGTTCAGATCAAATATGTAGAACGACTTCCTGTGGCCACACGCGATGATTTGCCCCCCACCCATTCCAAATGCCGCCTTCCTGATCGGCATGTCCTCGAGATGGACAGTCTGAACTTTGGGATTCCGAACACCGTCAGCTTGGAACAAGTGCAGTCTGCGATCCAGTCCCGCCACCATCACTAGCTGCCCGTTCGGGTGAAATTCTACCGACGTGACCTGCCCGTTCGAGGGCTCCGCCCTGTTGACATCCTTCAGCCTGGAGACGGAGATCCTGCCCGATGGAAGGGCCTTCCTCTCGCCCAGCAATCCACCCGCAGAGCTCATCAGACCCCTCAGTCTGTCCTCGGCGGTCTCGCCTTCATCAGAATCGTCATCCCCTGCACCCGCCGCCCTCCCCCGCTTCCTCTTTCTCGCCCCAGCCCCTCCGCCGCCGTCAAGGCTGGCCCATCGCGTGCGCGGATTCATCTCCGCGTGGGCGCGCCTGAGCCGCCTCTCGTACTCCCTGCCCGTCACCACGGTCTCCTCGTCGTCCAGCCTCAGCTTCTTCGTCCTGTGGTTGGACGACATGTCCACCATCAGCCGCTCGTCGCCCTCGTCTTCCCAAGCAGGTTTCAACTCGGCGTCGTCTCCCCCAGAGTCCTCCGCCGCCTCGCCACCCCTGTCCTCCCACATGAGGAGCGGATGGTCGCCGTCGTCCGCATCTGCTGCATCGAGTATGGGTGCTATGGACGCGAGCCTGCCCAGCTCATGCCCCTCATCTCCGAAACCCCGCTCTGTCACGCCGCCCTTGCCAAACAGGAGGCCTTCCAGTTCTGCCTCCTTCAGGCGTCCCTCAAAATCGGTGGCCAGGGTTGCCTCGCGCCTCGCGCCGACAGACGCCATGGCTGCTGCGCGCCCCGACGGCTGGTGGGGAAGGGTGTCGGAGACCTAAAATACAATTGGGCCCCTGATGAAGGTAGGAGAGAGGCCCGCACCATAACCGGCGTAATGAGCCAAATTAACTTCATCGATGCCTCGATGGCAATTCAATGTGCAAGAATATGTATCCGCAATAAACAAATAAATATGCAATACTGGCATAGTATCCCGCTGCATGGGAGGGCATGAGTAAGCCATGGCTCTCCTGGCTCACAACATACACTACTTCTTTGCGCGAATGTTGTCGCAACGGTTGTACTAAGGCAAGTGCCGAATGCATCAAGGCAGTGGCAAGGCATTTTTAGATGATGCAAGATGACATTCGAAAGGTGTATTCAACTGCAACGATATCCCAGACGGATTGAAAAGGGACGGACATATCTGAAAATGACACAAGTATGGAGGAAGTGCCGCAGAAATTCAAAGGCTTGGTGATGCCCTTTGTTTAATCATGTACTTCAGCAGCCATTTATGTGTATTCAATGCTGGAAGTCCGGTTACAATTACGTGCGAGATCGGCATGTCAATTTGGGGGCGGTGTTCAGCACACCTGACCTTGGTGGGACGTGTCAACATCAGTCACAATTCGTACTATTGCGTTTGAGAACATGCCGATAACTGCCAGGGCGAAACTGTTGGTGTAAATTATTGGGTGACCTGCTATCGCAAGAGTCTTGAAATCTGATGCACACCAGCAGATCTGAGTGCGCCATGGCTGTCGTCAGAGCCTTTGCGAGTGGGATGAGTGGTTGCGCTCCTAAATACATGTCATGCTAGGTGGAGGTGAGTGACATAGCGTCATTAGGCGCGCCCTACCACCCATTTCCGGCCATGCTTGAATATCAAGTCAGTGGTGCCCTTTTGGCGTGTTCGATCAAGCAGATCTTGACATGCCTTGCAAATGGTTGAATAATGGGCAGTGCGTGCTCGGAAAGAAATCGTCTGTACGTTTGTTTCTGCTTTACCGGTCCCCTTCAAAAACCCCCCGTGTTCCCCACGCGACAAGACTTACACTCACAAATGTACTGGTGTCCATCACCTCACTAATACAAGACCCGATTGGCGACCCACTTGAAATGTGCCCATGCTTCGCATAGTACTTAATGCCACACTGATGGTGACTCAGCCTGGAGTCAACTCCCGTTTCCAGTACTCAACCCCCTCTCCGTCCCACAACGTACCGAAACTCAATCTATTAGGGTGGGCCGGGTGGGTGCGAAACAAGATAAAGGGGGCGCCAAGGGTCACGCCCAAATAGCCATTCCCACTTGCCGCCAAACTTCCCGCCAAACCCAAGGGTGATACGCCGTGTGGGTATTAAAACCCATTAAGGCAATATAGGTTATATTGAGTTCCATT